TTCCACACACCTTCTTCATGTACCTAGGCCTTTTGGTCTTGTCCTTCTAACAAGACAAGCATATAAAATCCTTTTATATCAAAAATATGTCTTTTACTGATAGCTTTTTAAATATTTGGTCTCCGACTCACTATAAACATTTTATACTTTTGTCCATCATTATCTCATCCCTAGTGGTCTTTGTTAAGTAAATAAAGTTCCAATTCCTGTTTAATGGTTAGACACAGATGGTTTCTGCCACTGATGACAGCCCTAAACACATGACAGTTAAGGCACCTGTCTCACAAGTTTGTTCAAGGATTCTCACTTTGTTCTTCAGTTAGGATGTTATCTATAGTGGAGCTACAAATCAAAGAAGCTATATGACCTTTACTTTAAACAGCAGAAGCAATGGGCTAAGGCAAGTTTTTAAAGGGATACACTACCTAGTTTGCTTCCACAACTACTTTGATAGCTAATCTATTAAGCTTTAAAACTTTTTCCTATCAAAAGAGTTATAAAGTGGGGGAGGTATGAGTGGTGAGTGATCGGCTCAGGCTAGGACTATTTGAGAAGGAGAACAGGTTTGACAGAGGGAGGGTTAAAAGCATAGTTACTCTCACCTACTACATCAACCCCCTCCAGCATGTAGAAGCTACAATAATCTTCACCCATCTTCCCTAATGGCAGATAGCAACACTTCTTCAGAGGGGGGAATATTATAGACAGCAAAGTTAGATAGAAATTAACAGGCAGTCGGAGAGGGATCAGGCTTTCAAAGGAGTCAGTGCAAAAGACACATCAAAACTGTGGCTGGAGATGAATTAGAAGAAAACCAGGCCTGCAGGCCTCCCTAGAGATAGACTGGATGCCAATCAGCACCACTTGGTCCAGTGATCTTAGATAGGGCATCAGATGCACAAGGCATTAGAAACCCCTTGATCATTCTACATTAGAAGTTATAGATAAGCTGAAGTAAGTGGTGTCCACCACATACCTTTGCTACATGCCTCACCTCCCTATAGGATCAATATTAGCTAAGCTTCGATATTAGCTAAGCTAACCCCTTAGGTTGGCCTCAGTTGGCACAGAGTGGCCTGATAAGTGATCTTTTTTGTGCATAAAACACCCAGAAAAAGAGCTTCAGCAGCTCACTTTGGGTACCCCTTCTGTCTCTCTAGAGCTTTCTTTCAACAAACTTCTCCTGCTCTTAAACTCCTTTGTCCTTATATCCACTCTTCAGTTATCCAGTCATGAACTTGGCACATCTGACCTCTAACAAATTGGAAGTCACTTCCCCATGACACTACGATAGGATAAGATGAATCTGTTCTTTTTCTCTTTCATATTTTTATATCTAAGCTTAGGAATTTCTCTCCTCTGAGAGACTTTGTAGCGCTGCAGCAGTGATTGCATCTGTGTTGACTTTGTTGGGCTTTGGTGTGAGATGAAGTTGGCAACTCACCAGAGTTCATATTTAAACTCTATGTTGTTTAGATTTTCAGTTTCCCTCTTCTGGGCTGGTTTCTTCATCCCACAAAATCAACAGGATGACAGATAACAGAGGTCACACAGAGCATGGTGTGCTGTGATGATTGTTTTTCCAGAATAGAACACTGATTCTTTTCATATCTTGTTGACTTTTCAAATGCCTCATTTTCTTGATAGGTAGTTTTATATTTGTTGAAAATTATGGCAGAAGTTCCCTTGGCTAGAAATTTCTTTAAGATGTTAAAGGATCACACTGTAGAAAGATGGCTCAAATGATGCACAAACTCTTCAAATGGACTGAAGCCATCCTGGTATGAATGGAATGTGTCAACTTGATGAAGGCAAACAGTAGGACAGTGGTCCTCAACTAATGGCAATTTTGCCACTCAGGGGGCATATGGCAATGCCTGGAGATATTTTGGGTTGCCCCAAGTGCCAACTGGGATCCAGTGGCACTTAGTGGGTAGATGCCAGGGTTGCTAAAACTCCTATAGTGAAGACTTCAGTATCCCCATCCCACCAAAGAATTATCTGGTTCAAAGCATCAATGCTCCTGAAGCTGACAACTATCTTTTTAGAATATATGCTTAAGAGACTTGCTTTGGGTAGATTATCCTAGTGCAGTGAGGGACCTCTGGCCAGGCCGAACTCAGATGTGGGCTGGGATGGAAAAGGGAGGTGAGGGTGGGTAAGGAAGGTAGGGTGCAGCCAGGTAGGAAGGTAGGATGGAGTCCAGGGGAGGAACTTGGCAGCAGGAGGTGCTGCAGGCCTTGACTGGGGAGGGTGTCCCCGTCCTTCCAAGGGCATCCAGCTGCAGCAGGGTGCATCATCCTGGACAGATGATCTCCCCACCTCTGCACAGAACCCTAGATGCCTCCACCCACTGCAGGGTCTCTGGGTGCTTCCTGGATGGCATAATCATGTGCACAGTTCAATTTCATATGCAAAAGAGATGCTTCACTGTGCCCTCTGGGCATCCTCTCTCCATCCTTCTCCAGCTGCTGCGAGCCCCAGGAGGCCATCTCAGTGGGCTCCATTCCAAGTTTCAGCTATATTGGGCAGGATAGGGGAGGGAGGAGAGGCAGGGCTGGGTATTTATTCTTCAGCTCCTTTGCTGTCGGTTGTTGCCTGAGGCCCTCCCTATGCAGCTCTATCTTGGTCCTAGTAAGATAATGGTTTCCCTGCCCATAGCCCTGGTTTACTGTGAAGGTTCATTTATGTGTCAACCTGGCTGGGCCACAGTGTCCAGATGTGTGGTCATTCATTGTTCTGGACCTTTCTATGAGGATGCTTTTGAAGAGATTCCATTTGAATTAGTGGACTTTGAGTAAAGCAGGTGCCTTCTCTAATGTGTGTGGGCCTCATCCACTCAGGTGAAGGCCTGAACAGAGCTAGAGAATGACTTTCCCAGTGCAGGAGGGAATTCTGCACAGATAGCCTTTGTACTTAACATTGACTCTGCTCTGGGCCTCCAGTCCGCAGGCCCACCCTGCAGGTTTGATCTTTCAGCCTCCATAAACACATGAGCCAATTTCTTAAAACAAATATCTTTCTATGTTCATTTCCTATGGTTTTGCTTTTCTGGAGAGCCCTGAGTGATACAGGTACCTTGTGACTTCCCTCAGTATCCATCTCTGTCCCTTTATTAAATACTCCTTGTGCCATGCTGGGTGCATACCTGTAACCCCAGGACTCAGGAGGGTTGAGGCAGGAGAATGTTGTATTTGAGGCCATCCTGTGCTACATAGGAAGACATTGCCACACAGGAAAGATAGAAAGAGGGAGAGATAGAGATAGAGGGAGAGGGAAAGAGAGAAAGAGAGAGAGGAGAAAGAGAAGGAGGGAGGGAAGGAAGGAAGGAAGGAAGGAAGGAAAGAAGGAAGGAAGGGAGAAGGAAAGCTACTTCTTGAAGTTTGTAACATGAACATTGTAGGTTCCTGCCTGCTTGGAAGCCATGGTCCCTGGCCCACCTCTTGGAAATCAGGCAAGCGACTGCTGGGTGATCCCACCCCTGTGAAGGCTGCTGGTTGCTGGGCTCTAGGGAGTCAGAACCATCTGTTTACTTAAAGCTAGGTTAAACATTCTTGTCCCACCCACTACTAGGGCAGTGGGCCTGAACACCAGTGTGGCAGATCCATTTCTGTCTGGTTTGTGGCCAAGTCAGAGCTATTTTTAGTGCCAAAAATGGAGGCTGAGCTTTTCTCTGCCTTGAAAGTTTTACAAAACACTCCCATTCTGAAGAGGCCAACACTAAGGTTAACCCAGGCGGTAACTTAGCCAAAGTCACATGTTGAGTCACTGGCCAGAAGCCATGGCCCCTCTGACAGTTCATAACTTATGATTGGACACGCTTGTTCTTGTTCATGGAGCCTGAAAGCTTCTTTTTTTTCTTTTCTTTTTTTTGGCACTCCTGGGAATTAAACCCGTGGCCTTGCACATGGTAGGAAGCCACTTCACCACTGAACTACACCCCCAGGCCCTGCAAGTTGGTATTTGCCCTCACAGTCACCTCCCCATTGATGTGGAGCCAGCTATCCTGCCCTGTCCCTTCCTCAACCCTGAATCTGAACTCTGATCTATCTCCTGCATGACTGGGGCCATGGAGCTATGTCCACCGACTGGACTGAGGAGAGTCACTGGGCTCTGCTGACCACCAGAGCATGGTGGGGACCTCCCTGTACATTCAGACCCATGGCACCTGTGACCCAGGGAGTGACTTTGGTCCCCCAGAGACCCCAGAGTGACTTTGCTCCCCAGAGGAGCAGGAATGCAGGTGGGGAACTCTGACAGCTGCCCCAGGTCACATGCTGGTATGCACTACCAGTTACCTGAGATGGGCATGTGCCAGTCCCTAGTGCAAGCAGGGTCATCGTGTCTGCAGTCGCCACCATGGCCCTGGCTTTGGAGGAGTTGTTTCAGATAAGACGTGCCAGTGTGGTAGTGGGATGAGGGTATTCATATCCCTTCTGCTCCTGCCAGAACTGGACGCTCAAGGTCAGTCTGGCAAGGGAGGAGCAAGGGAGGAGCCAAATTCCGGGAGGTGCCAAATTCCGGGAGGTGGAGTCTGGAGCTCGGAACATTTATAAGGGAAGCCGAAGGGAGAGTGAACTCAGGGCCACCATGGAGGGCAGCTTCACTGGTCCCGATAAGTACCAGAAGTACTTCTTACCCAAGGACTACCTAGACACCTACTATAGATTTGAGCATGGCCCCTCGCCCGAGACTGAGATGATCAAGTTTAATCTGCAGTGTCTCCACAAGACCTTTGGCCCAGGTGAGCAGAGATTGCCTTTCCCCACTCTAAGCCTCTCTTCCGGGATGCTGCATGAGGGACAGAAAAAAGATGTCCTGGGTGAGCCAGGTCCCCTCCAGGGGCTTTGGGGTTCTGGAAGTCAGGTCTGTCTCCTAGTTACTTTGGAGTTGTGTGCAGTCCAGGAGTCAGGATGTGCAGAGGAAGAGAAAACATCACACAGTTCCAAAACTGCTCTCCATAAGCCCCGCATGCTGGGGTTAAATGGGGATGGCTTTCTGGTCATCAGCAAGTGCAGCCTTGTTCTGCCACCTGAGAGAGCCAAGGGCAAGCAGTGGATTGCAGTGGGTTTTGGATCACAGCTTATCTGCATTGTGTATCTTGGATATGGTGGTGACGAGGGCCTGGAGGAGCGGGGTACAAGAATTCTGGATGGGGTGTCAGCCCCGACATAAACCACAAGCCTGGTCCTCAGCACCAGAGGCCTTGGCTGAACCATCTCTAGTGGACTGATGATAATTACCTCCTCTCAGGAACCCAGGGTTAGCTCATGTACCTCTGACTTGGGCAGCCACATCCTCACTCAGGGCACTAGGCTGGGGAACAGCAGCCTGGGGCAAGAGAGTGCTGAGAGGCTGCGAGCCTAGTGGACAGGCAGGAAGGGAGGCAGAATCAGAGAGCAGCAATGGCCCTGAGCCCAGGCTCCTGATGAAGTGCTGGAAGCCAAGCTTCATTCCAGCATCCAGAAGATCCTCTGCTCACCCCTGGGGTCTTCCCAGGTCCTCTTCCTCCACCCTGCTGCTGGAGTCCATTCAGGCAGAACATCCAAGAGAGGCCCAGCCCCAGTCAGCCTGGAACTGAAAGGCCACTACCCCAGGCAGTGCTCAGAATGCTCTACCATGGATCTGCTCCCAAACAGGGCCCAGGGCTCCTGCTCCTGTCCAGGAGAGATGAGTGCTTATCTGTTGGCTGAAAGATATTGAGCAAATTGTTTAACCTTTCCCAGACTGGGTTTCCTAATCCATAACACAGAAATAAGAAGAATAGTCACTCTGTAGGGTAGCTCTGGGTTGTGAAAGGAAATTAATGCAATAGGATATTGAGCATGGGCTTGGCCTACAGGAAGCTGCCAGGCAGTGACGGCCATCATGCTTGTAGCTGTGTCTCCTTGGGTAAAATCAGGGTGCATGTCCTTCTCACCCCTCAGACTGTCTTGGGTGTCATCTCTCTTGCCTGCCTGCACCAGCCTCAGGGACCTCTCATTATCACAGGGGGCCTCCGAGGGGAAACGCTGATCGACGTGGGCTCAGGCCCTACCATCTACCAAGTGCTGGCTGCCTGTGAGGCCTTCAGCGACATCACCCTCTCTGACTTCACGGACCGCAACAGGGAGGAGCTGCAGAAGTGGCTGAGGAAGGATGTGGGGGCCTTTGACTGGACCCCAGTGCTGAAATTCGCCTGTGAGCTGGAAGGGAACAGGTATGGGACAGGGCTTGGGAAATCCCTTTGTGCTGGATCCTCCTTCCTCAAAGGGCTCTCTGGGCTCTCAGCTGTCCCTGACATTTCCCAGACAGCTGGATCCTCAAGGATGCACCAAATGTTTTGGGGTGGGGACACAGTAGATGAGCTCCCCTTGTTGGAGTCAGCGTGATGCTGAGATGTGGTATAGTCAGGTATGGCCACTGAAGACTAGTGATTGGGCCCATCCTTCCCCTCTCTCTCCTTTTTTTCCTTCACTTTCCTCCTCTCCCTTCTTCTCTTCTTCCCTCCCTCCTTCCCTCCCTCCCTCTCCTGTCCTTCCTTCCTTCCTTCCTCCCTCACTCCCTTCTTCCTTGCCTTGCTTCCTCCTTATCATTTCTACCTGTTGTGACAATATGACGCATGTGCCCAGCATCCAACCTGACACCCAGACACAAGAGACTGGAACTTACTTTTGTTTCTCTTGTGTCCCTTGCTCCCTTCCTCCCCTACCCAGGAAATCACTAATGTGAATTATACATTTCTCATTCCCTTGCTTTCTGAAAATAATTTGAATTACTTGTCTATGTATGTCTAAATGGTACCTTTGAACTTTCTACCAGGGTAACTTGCTCTGTTATCTACTAGGATTTGCTGTTCTTCACTCAATATTATATTTTTAAAATAACTGTATCCATAAATTATCAGTGGCAAATTCTTTCATTCATCTATCCATCCAATGATGTTTTTGATGTCCTGACCACACTTAGGGCTCTTTGTCCCTCATGGGGATCAAGGGAAGAGGGCTCACAAGGAACTAGAGAGAAGCTTCCTAGGTGTGTGGTCCACTGTCCCTGACCTTTTCGCACTGGGGAAACTGAGGTCTAGACCGAGGAAGTGCTGGCTCTCAAGTCACTCAGGGACTCAGGGACAGCAATCCTGTGGGGATGCAGAGGTTTCCCACCTGCTGGTCACATGGATGGGGCTTCCTGGCAGCTTCCACATGTGGCCTTTGAAACTTTTGCTCTCTCTGCAGCAGCCGTTGGCAGGAGAAGGCTGAGAAACTCCGGGCCACAGTGAAAAGGGTGCTCAAGTGTGATGTCAACTTGGGCAACCCCCTGGTCCCAGTGGAGCTGCCACCAGCTGACTGTGTGGTCACCCTGCTGGCCATGGAGTGTGCCTGCTGTAACCTTGCTGCCTACCGCGCCGCGCTGTGCAACCTTTCCTCTCTACTCAAGCCAGGCGGCCACCTGGTGACCACCGTCACTCTCGAAATCTCCTCCTACATGGTGGGGAAGCATCAGTTCTCCTGCCTGGCCATGACGAAGGAGGAGGTGGAGCAGGCTGTCCAGGATGCCGGCTTTGACATCAAGCAGCTCCTGCACAGTGCCCAGGCCTACTCTGCCAGTGTAGCTCCCAACAAGGGGATCTGCTTCATTGTGGCCCGAAAGCGGCCCGGGCCCTGAGCTGAGGGGTCAGCCAGGGGTCCCAGGCCCTGAGCTGTGATGAGAGAGGTGGGAAATGGATCACATCTAACAGCCTCTGCTTTCAGCACTCACATTCTACGCTCTCAGGTCTGAGATTCTAACATCCTTGTCTAGATATCTAAGTTTCTAACACACCTTGTCCTTGGATCCTAGGAGTAGAATATTCCACTTCTAATATCCTGAGCTCTCTGGCTCTGTGTAACTCTAGAGCCCCCAAGACACAGTCTCAATCTTTACCCAGAATGGCAAAGACAGGGGCAGTGGCCTGTTGACAGTAGTATGTTGGGGAGGGTTTCAAAACTAGGTCTAATAGACAAAAGCCCTGATTTTGCAGCGATGCCAACTTCTGCGATGCAAATGCTCCCACCGTGGTTGACCTCAAGCTACCAGTATTTTAACTTCTGGCTCATAAAACTCCTAAAAATCTTAGCATCAGCTCTCATGCACCGATTGCATCAGCCTAAACACAACACAGCCTCCACATAAGGGCTGGGAGATCTAGCAAATAAAAATATAGGATGTTGAGCTAATAGAATTTTAGATGAATGAAATACCATTTTTTAAGGATAAGTATGTCCTCCAAACTGTGTGGGACAGACTTCTTCTAATATTCTTTGTTGCTCATCTGCAATTTACATTTACCCGGGTGTCCTGTATGTCATCTGGCAAACCCTCTGTAGCCCTACTTCCAGCTCCAGAGGTAAAAGAGGTCCTGCCCAGGGTTCAGGACTGTGCCTAGCACACAGGACTCTTTGTGCAAGTCAGAAAGGGTCTCCTGCTGGGACACATTGCCAAAAGGTGTCCCTTGGGGTGATGAATTGTCCACAGGTGCCCTGTATCCCTTTCTCCTGGGCAGAACAATTGGAGGAAGAAGTCCCTTCCTTGGTCCTCTCCCCTGACTCCCTGTTGCCAGACCTTCCCCTTTCCCCCTCAACCTTCACCTCTGTAGGATCCACCCTGATGAGCTGGACACAGCCATCCTCAGAAGAGTCATGGAGCTAGGGTTCTAGTCTCAGTGCTGCCATTTCTCTGGACCTCATGTTCCCTACCTGTGGGGTAGGAGGAAGAAGGTCTAATAACTTACAGGAAAGTTTTAGGGGCAGGCATAGATGCAAAAGTGCTTGGAGAAGAAAAAGATTTTGTACAAATTGATACATTGGCACAAATTTTCCAAAGGGTCAGAGCTGGAATAGCTTTTGAGAATTACCAAGGCCTCTCCACATTTTTATAGCCCAGTAAGCAAGCCAGGGGACTCACCTAGAGACATACAGGGTTGGAGTGAGGAGCCAGGTGTCCCCACTCCTGGTCCACCCCATGTACCAGATGTCCAGGGCTTGGCAGGGCAGGGAGTCCCCTCATCCGCAGCTCTCCTAGCACAGGCTTGGTCCTGAACCAGCACCCTCTCTGCCTTCCTTTCTTCCCTGCTCATGCTTCACTCCCAGAATCACACAGACCCCAGCTCAGAACTGGTCTCAGCAGACCTCTCTGGACTTGTCTGGAGAGGCATGGGGTAGGGTGGCTCCAGGCACACTTATGGAAGAATGGTCAACAGGCAGAGAAAGAGTGGACCAGCAGACATGGTGACCCTGAGAACCCATGTCCAGGAACAGGGGAGAGAGGTGCAGAAATGAGCTGTGGTATGGAATTCTGAGCACACATGAAGTTTCTCTCTCCAATACAGGTTGGATTCTGCAAGGCTGCAGACAGGCAATGCCCGGGGAGGGGCTGTCAAGGAAAAGAAGGGACAAGTGTGCCCTTCTTTCTGGGTGGGGACCTCCCGTGGAGGACGAGCTGACCTAAGCATGGGCAAAAGACACAGAGTAGCAAACATGGGTGCTGGCTCCTGTGGTAGCTTGATGTGCAGAGTAGAGGGGGGTGGAAGGCTGTGAGGAGGACTCCAGGGGCTGGTGGAAGCTGCTGGCATGTTAAAGTGGCCAGGCTGGATGGGGACTGTGCTGTGTGCCTGCCCTGTGGCCACATGAAGATAACCTGTACTCTCTGCACACATTAATAAAGCACATTGATCACCCCAAGTACTAGCAGAATCTGTAATATGCTGTTGAAACTATGGGGTTGAGGTGGGAGTGGGGGGTGCAAGAGTCTTTAAAAGGACATAGTCCCATTGTGGCTTTCATTTTCAAGGTAGGGGACTTAGATTTGTGTGTCATGACTCTTGTGTATAGTAATTCACTAAATTGCTACCCTCCTAGGATGTTTCCTGCCATCGGAATGTAATACACGATTTATCTCTAATGCTTTCATTGGTTTTTTTCCCCCATTAACTTCTCTTATAATAGTCAAGTAGTGATTTAGTAACTCAATGACAACAGAGCTAGCATCTCTGTGATTAACATAGTTTTTCCTCATAGTCACAAAATGGCTGTTCTAGCTCCAGGCAGTATGCATACATTTAAGGTGGTAAAATGGAGGAAAGAGACTTAATTCTTGATCTTTGTCCTTAAGAGGAAAGCCGCAGTTAGTCCAGAAACCTTGCAGACTTTAGTTTTGTCATGTGCTACCTCTTGTGCCACTTCTTCTGCCCCGCCAGCTGCACTGTAGGTTAGGAAAGGAAGTATGCCCTCTATACTATCCAACATCTGGGGTGAAGTGTGGGGACATTTGAACTCCAAATGGCTTGCGTGGCCCTGCCCCTATGACACCACCTGCAGAGGCCCTATGGCACTTCCTGTTGAAGCCCCAGTGGCCTCTCTCTTGCAGTGGCTTTACTCACGGCCTGCTGCTTTCCTCAGCTGATCTCTCATGTTCCTGGCATCTCCAACTGGTGTCTCTCAACATGTTTGGCTTCACTCTCACAATTTCACACACTGGGCTCTCAGGACACACACTCTTACCTCCCAGACCTTCTTCTGAAATCTGGGTGGAAGCCTTCATGACCCTGTAACGCTTGCATTCTGCAAGTCTGTAAACCCAGCACCATGTGGATGACACCAAGACCTGGTGCCAGCTCCAGTAGTAGCCAGGTCCCCTTGGTTTATGGCCCCACAAGGCTCTTAGTGCCTGGATGGCTGAGCACTGTGAACTGAATCCTAAAGAACCAAATCCTTAGATGGCTCTCTTGGCCTTCTTGGGTAGGGTGCCCTGGGGCAGCGTTCTCAAAACAAAGTCCTACTTTTGTGGTTCTTAGTCTTTAAGCGTGAGGTCTTAGTGATTCCTCATATGCTCTCAAGTCATCCTTCCTATTGTTCTGAGGAGAAGTACTTGGAGTCTTTTAAGACTAACCTTTTCAATAACCAAGCTCTCCTCTGCTCAAGCTTTACACATTGTTTCATTTGTGGTGCAACTGAAAACTTTTAAAATGATCTTTTTGCTCATATTTCTCTACAAATCTCTTTAAAAGCTGTGAGATTTGTCTTACACCAGTCTAAGGCTGCTTCTGTACCCAGCATTTCCAAACCTTTCCAAACTCATCCAGTGAATAATTTCTAAAAGGTTCTGAACCATATAGTCAGGTAGTGGCACAGCAACAACCCCACTCCTCTGGTAGCACAATCTGTCTTAGTCACTTTCACATTGCTGGGACACAATGGTTGACACTTACAACTTAAAGGAGGACATGTTTATTTTGGCTCACATTTATAGTCCTCGATTGTCTGGCTCCAGGGCAGACTCAGCCTGGCCAAGGGCCCTGGCAGAGGAAATCTGCTCACATCAAGGCAGCCAGGAAGCAGACTGAGAAGGGAAGAGTTGCCAGGGAGATCCATCTTTCCACATCATGCCCCTAGTGGCTGGACTCTTCTGATCAGACCCCACTTTCTAATGAAAAGTCATCTATGATGTCTAGATATAAACTGGCTGGCTAGCTGCCAGTCTGGGCCATGTTCTTTTTGTGTTAAGTATGACTGGCCCTGGCTTTGTTGCTTCTCCCCAAGCCTACTTTTCTAGGGCCCATTGCCTCATCCATGCCATTCCCATGCCAGAACTAGGAGAACCATAGGCCTGACAGGAACAAGAAACCAGGACCCTCTGTATCAAGGTCACCAGCCTCCTGATGGATTTCTTCCTCAGCCTGAGTGCCCCAGGGAGGAGGCAGCACCTTTCTCTGCAGATGGAGTCCATGTCCAATGGAGGATGTCCTAGCCGGTCCCATAGGACTAAGCTGGACACAAGGGCTGTTCTGTACTCACCTGCATACCCCAGGCCTCTCCCAGGTGATCCCTGGTGGGAACTGTGAGAGCTGGGTGAGAGCCTGTTCTCAGAGCTGTGTACCTAGTCTCTCTACCTCCAGCTCCAGTATGCACTACCCCCATCCCATGGGACAGCTGCCTCCAGAACACCAGGGTGAGAGAACTGGGGCAGTCTGTGGCGGCTGTACATACTCCACCCAAGGTCCTGAGGGGGGAGGTGCTGCCCAGCCCTCTTGTGCTGGGTGCCTTCTATCTGCCCCATGAGGGACCTTTCTCCTGGCTCATCAAGGTGGGTTTTATCCCTCTCTACCTTTCCTTAGAGGCACATCCGACTGCCTTGTCCTTCCACCTATAGCACTACCTGTGCAGAGTTCAAGTTCACAATGAGGAGGTCTAGGGTGCTTTGGGTGGGTAAAAGTCTATCTCATGTCATCCTGCTGCAGTCCGCCAGGGCCTGGAGGTGTCTGATGAGATGTGGGGAATGTGGATGAGCTTCTCTGTCATGTTGCCATGGTCACTGGCCTGGACTGGACCCCTTGTTCTGACCTCTCAGGGTAGTAGCCAGACAGCTAGGAAAATCTTGGAATCAAGTCATTAAAAAAGTTTTCACAATGTCCTTCCAACCCAACTGGCCTGGACAGGATCCTCCTGGTGAGCTCCATGTTCCCATTGTCCTGGCCCTGGACAGGAGACAGTTGGGGCAAGCGTATATGCTTCTATTCTCTAGAAATCTACTGACCCCCGTTCCAGTAAATACTCAACTCTGCCCTGCCATCAAGGAGCTTGGGGGTGGAGAGGGATCCATTCTCCAGTATCCTCTGTAGAGCTTCCTGGAGGAGACACCACTTGTTCCTCACGTTGTCACAAAGCACCTGGTCTCATGCAGCTGGCCTTGTCTTCCTAGTTTGAGCTCCATTACAGATCTGATGCATTCTTCTGCCAGAACCAGCAGGGAATCAGATAGAATTGGCAGGGGAGCCTCTATGAACCCCTGCTGATAGACACACAAACACAGGGGCCCATATACACACAGGTGAACAGAGCCACAACTGTGTGGAGATGTGTATGATTACACACACACACACACACACACACACACCTCTGTCCTCTGAATGCTGTGCTATGTTGCCTAATTGTCCCTCCAGTGTCCCTTCTTCTTCTCCCCTCTTTCCTCTGTACTTTAGGGGCACAGAATTAATTAATAATTACCTTGGTTCATGACATCCTGTTATTATTGGTCTTCCCATGCCCATCTTTTATTAACTAATGAACCAATAAAAATAATAAAACAAATGTTTACAAAAATAAATGCCCTAATGACACTCAGAACATTGACAATTGCTCACATTCATTTGCGTGATTCTTTCCTGCCAGGTACTGTCCTGAATCATATCATCTTTATTTCCTTGCTCTTATTTTCATAAAATTTTACCAAACCTTTATTTTCCCACAAATTATCATTTCATAGTTTAAGTTTTTAAAAGTTCACACAAAGATATTATGCTGTCTGTAACTGTTATGGTTTGGTTCATAAATCTCCCACCCCCAACCCCCAGCTCATGTGCTTAAGGCTCGGTTATCAGCCTGTGGTGCCACTGGGGAATGATGGAACTTTAGGAGGCAGAGCCTAGTGGAAGGAAGGGAGGTCACAAGAGATGTGTCTTTGAATGGGGTATTGGGATCCAGTCTCCTTTCCTCTTTGTTTTCTTCCTGGCTTCCACGAAGTGAATAGACTTCCTCTGCCACATGCTCCTGCCATTGTGTACTATACTACAAAGCAACAAGGCCAAATGATCATGGACTGAACCTTCTTGAAACCATGAGTCAAAATGAACCTTTCTTCCTTATATGTTGTTTGTCTCAGATATTTTGACAGAGTGATGGAAAGCTGACCCACACAGATATTTATGAAGACTTGAGTCCTTATTTGGATGACATTGTTATTTGTATCTCCAGTGTGTTATTTATAAGGAGTCATCCTTGAGGACTTTACCTCCCTTTCACCTTCAGTTGGTGAGAATGTTCCAGCTCATAGGAACAGTGTGGAGAAGTCAGGATGCCTTGGAGGGAAGCTTCGAGAAAGAATGGGACATATATTGTAATCTGGTTTCCCCAGATTTCTGTAAGGATACCTTTTGCCTTTCCCATACTGGCAAGATTGGCCCTTTTTTTTGGTACCTGGGATCAAACTCTGGTCCTTGCGCTTTCGAGGGAGGCAGCAGAACCACTGAGCTAAATCCCCGACCCCAAGATTGGCCTTTTTACTTGACACTTTAAGGTTATCATATCTCCAGGAGTCAGCTATGTGCTTGGAAGAAGAACTCACTTCTGCATCTCTTGCTTAACCATTCCACTCCAGTGTGGTAAAAAGTTTCAGAGCCAGGAGAATGTCTCACACACACACACACACACACACACACTCACTCACACACACACACACACACACACACACACGCTCCGTATCTCTGGACTAAATTTTACCCTGATTACTAATAGTTGCAATTGTCTTAATTGGTCTCCCTGCTTCCATGCTTGTGCCTATACATGCTGTTCTCAACACAAGAACCAGAAGGGTCCTGTCAAACCTAAGCCAGACCTTTTCTCTCTTCCTCTCTCAAGGATTCCCAGTTCAGAGTAAAAGCTAGAGTCCTGATGATGGCCCTGTACAGGCCTACACAGGCAGGCCCTTGTTTCCTCAGTCTCACTGCTCCCCTCTAGCCTTGCTGTTTCACACACAGTCATGCTAGTCCCATCTCAGGGCCCTTGCATTGGCTATGTCCTCTGCTGCCTGGGGTGCTCTTCCTCCAAGATGCCTTGTCTTGGTTCTTTTTCTTATTACTGAGGTAAAATATCCCACACCTAAAGTTAGAGGAAGAAAGCTTTATTTGGCTCACAGTTTGTAGAGGCTTCAGTCCCTTGTTGGCTGGCTCCAAGGCAGGGTGGCATGGCAGAGGGGCATTGCAGAGGAGAAACAGTTCAGAAGGCAGCAAAGTAGCAAAATAGCAACAAAAGCAACCAAACCTGCCTTTATATTTCCCCCAGGCTACTTGTCCTTTGGGTGGTATCGCCCACACCCTGGGTGGGACATTCTTAATCTCAGCATCACACACTTAATCCCAGCATCACACAAGCTACATCTGGCCACCTCTGAAAAACCTTACCTATGACCACATGAGGCTTTGGGGGGACATCTAGATTTAAGCCATAACACTCTGTACGGCCCACATTCTCTCTTCCTTCAGATTTTTGCAAGGATATTACTATATGTAATCTCACCTGATGCACTTTAAAAAATGTTATTTCTATCTCCATCAAAAACTCGCTAACACTTTTGTATCTTTTTCTCTTAAATTATGATGTTTTAAAATGTCTATGACATGTTTTTAAATGTGTGTTTAAAAATTTTTATCTGTATCTCCCTATTCCCACTGACCTCCATGACTCTCCTTCCATGAAGACACAGATTTTACAGTGTTAAATCCACAGTACCTGAACATCTGAAACCCGGAAAGGCCACTACATATTTATTAATGGATAAATGAATGGATAAATGAATGACTTTTGTCTCTTTGCCCCAATTTCACTGTGATCTGCCTCCATGGGTGGAACTTTATCTTTCTTCTGACTTGTTACATAACACCTAGTATGTATGTATGCCATCTGTTACTGGACGATAATTCTGTTTTGTGTCATTTTTTTTTTTGGTACCAGGGATCAAACGTGGAACCTGGCGCTTGTAAGGCAGGAGGCAGAATCACTGAGCTAAGTCCCTGGCCCTGTTTTGTGTCATTTTTAAATTACTACACATCCATTAGTGTGTTTGGACCTGCAACAGAGCATCCCCTGTGTAAGGATCAGGTTGTCTCCTGCAGCTCTGTACCTCCACTCAACACATGTGCATAGTCTCACAGGGTACTGAATGCTTAAAGGTGCCTTCTCAGAGAACTGTGGTGGGTCAGAGGGAGAGGATGCTCATCGATTATAATGCATCATGTAACAGAGATGTCCTCAGGAGACCGTACAGCATTGTACGATTGCTGCCCAAGTGTGGCATGTGTGCCGCTGGCATGAGATGATTTTTCGATGCATGCATTCCTTTCTGGTTTTGTATTTGTTTTAATGTATATCAGAGATTTATCAAGTTCACTAGATCTATAGCTTTGTGGATATTATTGCTTGGGAATCCTTTATTTTTTAAAGAAAATTTAAAACATGGATGTCAGTTTAAAGAAAATAATAGTTAAGTAACAATATAAGTGTGATGGGCTGTGTTATGTTCCCTAAATTAATGTTAAAGTCCTGATGCCTGGTACCTCAGAATGTGACTGTATTTGGTGACAGACTCTTTAAAGAGGTGATTGAGTCAAAATGAAGTTATGATGGTGGGCTCTAATCCTACATGACTGGTGTCTAGGATGCAGACTCACACAGAGGGAAGCCCTTGGGAAGACACAGGAAGAAGATGCTAATCTATAAGCAAAAGAGAGAGGCCCTAAGAAATAACCCTATGACACATTGATCTTAGACTTCCAGACTCCCAAACTGTGCAATAACAAAGTCACTGTTGTATGTTGTTGTGATAACCCTAGCAAACTAACACAATAGGTGAGGTGCAGCTGTGGCAGAGATCGTGAAAGTGGTACCTAAGTGGCTGAGTTTGGTGAAATGATCCCAGGTAAAGATATCATCTTGGCTGGAATCCCAGCTCCTGGTTGCATGGCTTCCAGGAAAATCTTTACCTTTCTGAGTCTCAGTGTCTGGTTTTAAAGAATAGGACCAATAATGTCCACAATGCCTAGAAGCTGTAAGTATTAAAGACAGAGTCATATGTATTATATAAAGTCTCCTGAAGCTCAAAACATAGCAGTCACATTGTGGGAAAGCTGTCACCAAGGGGGACAGGAACTTGTCCTTTAATTCAGTACTCCAGAAGCAGAGTCCAGGCTACCCAGGCCAGTGGGTCAGTGAGCCCAGAAGGGGCTCCGTGCTCTGGGTGGACCATAGGGGCCACTTCACTGTGACAGTGGTCCTCTAGGAACAAGGAGGCAGGTATGCTTCCCACTTTATGTCTAGGGAAATGGAGACTCAGATTGCATCAGTAACTTGTCCTGGGGCCAGCGGATTGCAGCAGTGATTTGTCCTAGGCCCAGGTCTGGGGCCTGTACCCTTGGTTGCCTTTTGCCTCTGCCTTCTGTACTGAGAAGCCGCGTGTGAAGGAGGCTCCTCCCTTTGCCTCCGCCCTCACCGTCTGCTGGCTACCAGGGAAGGGGAGGAGCTCTCATTGGCTCAGATGCCACCGTCGCCACGGCAACGCGGCCATACTGGGCCCAACGGATTGAGGGGGCTGGGGCTGTGACGGTGGAGGCCTCGTGGGCAGAACTGGCAGCATGGACAGCCTCTTTGTAGAGGAGGTGGCCGCCTCCCTGGTCAGGGAGTTTCTCAGCAGAAAGGTAATGCTTCACCCCTCCAAAGCCCAGGTCTTGGCTCCAGTGCTGGGAAGCAGTCTGGGACTTTGCTGGCATCTTTGGGGAGGGAGTGTTCCTGGCCTGCTTCTGCTGCCTGCTTCAGAAATGCCCTCACCGGAGCTCCGCTTTCTCAGGATAGAACTACATTTCCCAGGAGCTATTTGTCACAGGCCCTGGGCACTTCCGCAAAGCTTGGTGGGGAGGTACTCCCTGTCCCTGGCCTTTCTGAAGCGTCTGCTCTCAGGAGTGGTGGGCAGCAGCCAGCTGGGGAGGGTTCTGCAGGGCAGAGCTGAGTGTTCCTGGCTCCGGGCAGGGCAGGAAGGCTGCAGCCTGAGCTGGGTTACCGGCCTCCAGGGTTACTTGCCCTAGGACCACTGGGAAAGGACTTCCCCCAAAGATCCCAAAGAGCTGAGAAAAGTTCTTGAGAGTCAAACCTTTACTCATTTTAATCAACGATGGGAGTCCCTGCTGTAGTACTAATTTTTGTAGGAGAAATTTATAAATTCTCCTTTTGTTTTTGTCCCAGAAGAGTTTTAAAGCATTTACACAGCTCTGGCAGTGATGGGGTCCAGGGTGTGGAAGGAGCTGGCTGGGGGTAACGGACAAGAGGTGCTGGGAATCATTCATTTATTCTATGAGAAGTACCTGAGGGCTATTTGCTATGGGTTCTGTTTCCCTGTGATGCACTGTTGAGTTGGGGCATTATCTGAGGTTGAACCTCCCTGCCTCCCCCCGCCCCCTTTTTGTTACTTGTTTTTTTGAGTTGGTCTCATGGTGATCCTCCCGCCTCAGCCTCCTGAGTGCTGAGATTACAGGTGTGTGGCACTATGCAGGGCTGCCACCAACTATTTGAATGGAGGAGGTTCAAATATTTGTTACTAGTTTGTAATGTGAAAGTGTAAGCTTCTGCACGTTACTCACTGCCTTAATGTCTATCTCTAAAACAGGAAAAATGAGATTCACCTTCTGCAGATTTGAAATGATCATTAATAATAATACAGTGTATGGGTAGCTCCCAGGCATTATGTCTGACACAGATAAAGTGTGCACATATGTATTAACTTTATACTTGCTTACCCATTTCTGACATACACCTGTTTTGAAAGTGTTTTTCTATGCATTTTACATTTTCTTTTTTTTGTATGTGTGATAAGAGGATTGAACTCAGGACCTTGTGTACATTTATATTTTGTTTTTATTTTTTATTTATGTATTTTTAAAAATTTTTTT